TAATTAGAGCTCAATTCTAAGCTGAAACACCCGAACGGACTCTGATGTGGCCACATGCATCTCAGCGAAATGAGTGCCCATGACCACTCTAATGGAATAATTATTGTCGGAGTCTCAGAGGATATAATGGACGGCGATATCCTGGGAAATGAGTTGGGGTAAGGAGGTGAAGTCAATAAACATGGGACTGTCTGCTGAAATCTAGACTATGGGCGGGTCCTACCTGGTGGCCTATCGTACATGATGGAGCTGGACTGGGGCCTATCAAACAGTACATGTGGTCTAGCGGTCGAATGAAGCTAATTTAATGCAATGTGGTGAACAAAATAAACGTAAGTGAGGCGGATAATACCCCAAGCAAAGGTTCAATGTGTCACGTAATCGGAAAAAACTGCCCTATGCTTGAGCAGAGGAAGTGTGGTAAAATTAAAAGTGAACCAGGATAATAGGTTAAGAATCAGATTTTAATGAGGAGGTAAGTTGTCAAGATGGCTATTAAAAGAAGAATAGTAATGAGTAGAGTGAATGTTATATAGCTTTTTGGTACCCAATAAATACTAAATTAAGAATATTCACAAGTGGATGATGAGAAAAAAGACGGCTTCAATGGTGGGAAGTATAGTAGTGAAGGATATAACGAATTAAAATAGAGGATTATAAAAACTTAGTAGGAGTGTAATGTCCAAAAGAAAAATGATGAATGGATTCATGATATGTTTTACATAATTCATGGCATATGTTCCTATGTGAGGGTAGAGGTGGCGGATATGTGTGTGAATTATGTCGATTTAAGCATAGGCAGTTTATATGTGTACGGTCATACATGCTTTATTCAAATCGGGGAAAAGAAATGGCGCTATTACTACATCCCTATGAGGTTGGTCCATTACAAATGCTGCTACAATAAGTGAGAGTCCTAATACTCAATCTAAAGATTCATGGTGAAGTATAGGGTAATTCTTTTAATGTTTAACTAATGATTTAGGGAGTTGCTTTCTATTTTTATACTATAGTATAAAAAAATGTTGAGACATGTAATTTTTTTAGATTTATTATAAAAGTAATTTGTATATTATTTATACTATAATAGATATATTATATTATGACCATAATAATGGATATTTGACATCATGGGGATTTATTGAGATGAACATACATAAGGTAGAAGATAGATGAAACAAAAAGAGAATATTATTAATTAGTAAAGGTGGATGGGCCGTGAATATAGAGACTAATGGCAAAATTTAGTAGAATATAACTAATATATATTATCTATGGGTATGGCATTTTTAACGTAATGTCATAGAGGAATTTTGATTTCTTTGCTATTTATTATCAATAAATCATTGTTTCCCAAGAGCGTAACTTCTGATGCCCATATACTAAGAAGCTCGTACTATTCATTAAACTAAAATGTTATCGTTTCCACGTTGACCGGGTGTTACTTATATTTGTGCTGTGTGGCTTTTGTCGTACATGACTCGCTCAAAAATTTTCTGTAATAATGGATTGTGCCCGACCCTTTTAGTGCCCATCCCAATGAATACATGTATGAAAACTCATATCTGCTTTCTCGCTTTCTTCACTAAGTGTATTACGCAGCCCTTGGATAAATATATTTTAATGTGATAATTTAAAACGAATGAATCGTATTCTTTAGATAAATCCTTTAGCTTTGGAGTAACTTTATGATATATTGTTTATCAAATTAAATTTTTATCAAAGCATGAATATATCGGTACATGGTTTTATTAAAATAAAATAGTATTATGTGTGTTGTTAATTATAATTGTTTAAGTAATGGAATTTGTGATTTGAAAGATATTTATAAATTATTTATTTATATATAATTATAAGTTTCATATGTAGTGTCTAAGAATAGATAACAAAGTATTTATATGATATTAAATTGTATAAATTAAATATTTATTATTATTATTAATAGTTCTATTTGATATTCTTTTTGCTTTATAATATGTGTTAAATTGTATGTTTGAAATTAAATATTTTTTATGAAAATTTGTGTTTAATATAGATAAATTGCCATTTCGCTAACTCTCCCTTGTTGTAAAGTATTGTTGAATTTATTGATCACCACTTTGTTTAACTCAGACGTTGTCGATTTTTTTATTCACAAGTAGGTTGTAAAGACCCGTGTGGTTGCTATCTATTGAAGATCGAAAGGTTAATCAGTAGCAGAAATTGAACTAATTTTGGACAGTTAGATTAATGCATTATGTAATTAAGGCATAAATGACATGGTATAATTATTTACACATTCGGAGATTATTGTTATTTGAAATAGGACTAAACTTTGTAATCTATAAAATGCATCTTGGTGAATTATAAATTATTTTGGTGTATATATTTGGAAATAAGCATGAGATTTTATTAAATGATTGAATATGAAATATTTTAAGACAGTTGGTATGATTAGTTCATTAAGACTTGATATATATAATGAATGCAATTAATTAATGCTATTGAGGATTTATGTAGTTATGAAAACATAGAAGTGTTGTTATATTATGATGATTATTTGGAGATGTTGGGAGTTCAGAGTTTAATTGGGAGTGTTTTGTATTCACATGTTTGGCGAGCTCAGTTTTAAAGGGGAAATTCTTACAATATTTCTGTAGGATTTTCCTCAATATATATATATAAAGATGAAAATGAAATGAAATGATATAATAAAAAAATTTTATTACTCGCTAAACTTGTGAATACTCAATTACTTCTAATTCATAATATAATTTTATGATCTATATGTTAAGTTAAGACGGTGTCTCCGGCACCGAATAATATTTTATGATCTATATGTTAAAGTTTTAAGACATGATTGTGTTTTCCCTTTTTATTGGCACGATTGACATCCATGTTCTCAATTACTTCTAATTCATAATATAATTTTATGATCTATATGTTAAGTTAAGACGGTGTCTCCGGCACCGAATGTGGCATCCACTGTTGGGTCTCTCGGGACTAGGAGGCAGGTGTTACAATATTCCAAACCAATTTACACCCCTAATTTTTCATACACTGATTCTGTCCAACTATTTCATCCTTCCAATTGATATTTATATTTTCTATTGTTAAATTTAAAAGAAAAGACTATCATTTTGTCCTTCTCTTTCCTTCTTGTCCATTAATTTATCTCTCTCCTTCTCTCTCTCTCTCTCTCGTCATTGAAATGCATGATAGTTCTCTCTCTTCATTGAAATGCATGATAGTTAGATGACAATACAATCCTTGCATTCATTTAGTTGGGTTAACTCCTTTTAATTTATTTAGTTTTGAATACGTTTAAATTTGGCAAAAAATGCAAATTTAAGATGGATTAAAAAGTATTTTTTGTTTTTCCATACGCCACTTAATGGAAAAGTTGAATTTTTTTTTTTACGGAACGACAATAGTCTATAATAATAAAAAACATAGGAACAAAAGAAGTGTTTTTTTAAAAAACAGAGCAATAGAATGGTTGATTTTATCATAATATTAGTACAAGATTATAATTTTTCCATTAGTAAAAATCTTGATTCTCCAATTACATTGTTTAATTTTCTAAAGTGCAAAAAAAAAAAAAAAAAATCTCCCTCGTCCCATATATATAGAGCTAGTTTGACTTTCATATAAATTAAGAAAAGCAAATTAATATAGTTAAACTATATTATTTTTTAAAATACCCCTGTACTAATATTAAATAAGGCTTTATTATAAATTTAACGTATGGATTCTAAATTTCTATTTCAGTCTCTCAATGGAAAATGTTTACAATCGAGTGTCTAAACTCCTAAAATACTAAATGATTACAATCGAGTGCTAGTTTGACTTTCATATAAATTAAGAAAAGCAAATTAATATAGTTAAACTATATTATTTTTTAAAATACCCCTGTACTAATATTAAATAAGGCTTTATTATAAATTTAACGTATGGATTCTAAATTTCTATTTCAGTCTCTCAATGGAAAATGTTTACAATCGAGTGTCTAAACTCCTAAAATACTTTCAATCAGGTGTCTCCAGCCTAATGGCTTGCCGAAAATATAAGTAGGACCTGAGAGACCCACTCAATAATAAAAAATGAGCTACATAGAACAATAAGTCGACTGCCATGTCGGGTTTGACATGAACAAAAGGTGATTGGTAAATGAAATAAAAATGGTAAATTACTTTTCTAGTTTTGCAATGAAAATGAACACAGATCGAGGGCTTGGAAACCAACAATCCCTTCTTTGTCGACACTAAATGCCACGTCCAACTCTAACCACCAGAGGAATTGTCCCTCACGATTTTATAGCGCAGGCAAAATGGAAAACTTTTCAGGAAGTTTCCCATCCTAGGATTTCTCTTAAGCGAGCACGCTTAACCTAGGAGTTCTTCTGACTCTCCAGGTCATTCCACCAAAAAGTGGCTCTGATGATTAGTTCTCCCTTTTCGATATATGATCGTATTCATTCCTTTGTTCCGCATTCCACTGCCCTAGTGAAACACCCCGTATTTTTATTTTTGAAACTTTTGAATTTTTATTAAATCAAAAATTCGAATCTTTGACGATATGGGCTGCAAATACCGAGTAATTCCAATCTGAGCCTAAGTTTGCGAAGTTGGGCTCAAGTCCAAAACACATTATCGGAAACCAAGTGAAAAATCAGTAAACCAAACAAAAATCAGGCTAAATCGTTGAGTTGGACCAAACCGATTCGAGTAAAGTTCTACAATTTTCTCCGTAGGGCTATATGAGTAAATTTCCAGTTTTTGCAATAGACTAATTCATGTATTATTATATGTAAAAACTTCACTGTTTCTAGCTATTAGTGAACTCCGCAGTTGTAGGATCTATATATCTTTAGTTGTGTATTAATATAGATGAAATAATTCTGTGAATCCATATTATAAATGTGTTGTATTGTAAACTGGGCTCGATTCGTAAATGTTTAAGATATTATAGTTTGGGGCCGAATTATAGTATAAATATGAGGTTTATTTTTGCATAGTAATATGGGCTTAATGTTTGAAAATCACATTGTTATAGTTGAATTTGTAGCTAGGCTTACTTCGGGCCTCGGGGGCCTTAAGCTTACTTGGGCCCTAGTGCCAGTTCGGCCCATGGAATCAGGTCTGACACCTAATTAGTCTGCCATTTTAGAAGCTAGCCAAGAGCTTTACTCTACCCGGCCTTTTAGAATCGCTTTGCCGAGTCGAAATGTCATAAATCCACTAGCTTCTACGTAGTTCGTCCTCGAACCATATATCTACTAGAGGGGGTCTGGCTCTGATACCAATCGTCACGCTGGACTCCAATCACTAGAGGAATCGTCCTCTTTGGATCAAGCCAATCCCATCCCATACTGGATTGGCAAGACCCGCACAGTTTTGTCCCACAGGTGAAATGGGGAACTTCCGAGGAGGTCACCATCCTAGGATTTTCCTTTAGCGAGCACACTCAACCCCGAAATTCTTCCAATTCTCTAGGCTATTCCATCAAAAGTCGTTTCTGATGATTAGTTTTTCCCTTTTCGATTTATGGTCCGATTTATTCCTGTGTTCTGCATTCCACTACCCTAGCAAGCCTGCCATCCTAGAAGCTAGCCAGGAGCTTTGCTTTAACCTCCCTTTTAAGATCGCTTTGCCGGGTCAGGATGTCACACTAAAAGCCTCCATTAGCTCTTATCCCCAAAACCAATTGTACTCCTCCATCAACACTGACAGTATAACTAAAAGCGTCGCATTTTAGGCTTCTTTTTCTCCCAATAACCCAATTGTACTCCTCCATCTAAAACTAACAGTATAAATCTTAAATCCATATTCGCAATTGCTAAGGACCATACATAAAAGATCGCTTTGCCGGGTCAGGATGTCACACTAAAAGCCTCCATTAGCTCTTATCCCCAAAACCAATTGTACTCCTCCATCAACACTGACAGTATAAATCTTAATCCATGAATTTGTAGACCCATAATCTTTTGTTATCCACACATTACAAATTCTACCCCTAATCACTTGTCTCCATATTCAAATTCTACATATTTACATCAGGTTATTGCCTATCATACTGCAATACTACAAGAGAACACTTAATATTTGCAATTAACATATTCATATGACATATTCGTATCAAAATCTCTGCCAATTTCGTTTTCTTGAATTTCTCTTCGGTCATATCAAACAACAAAATTGAATTGTAAATGGCACGTGGTTTCGTCTCATATGCAACCCAATGGATGTGGCCATTCATAAAGTATCGTGACCACCTGTGCTCGGTCATGCAATACTCCGCTCTTGCGCTTTAATCTCTTTCCAATAACCACGTTTTAGCGAGTAAACTTTGACCAGCAGTGGAAGCTCATCAGGCTATTGCTTTCCTTGAACATATGTAACTCTCTTTACGTTATAATCGTTTCTCACAAAATTGAACCAAATCCTAGAACATGTAAGGACTAACTTTGTCAAAAATGACTCGGGGAAGCGTCGGAGGAAGAGAGGACGAGAGAGAGAGGTTGTCACAGAGAGGAAAGAAGGTATGAGAGATGAAATGAGAGCTTGTGATTAGAGAATCCCTCTTTCAATTTTTCTTAATTTGGAACCCTAATTTTTCCAAGCCCGCGATTCGCAATATAAGGGCATTCATTTTCATTGCAAAGCTACATAAGTAATTTAACATTTTTATTTCGTGGATCAATTACTTTTTCTTACATGTCAAAACCGACTTGGCAATCGACATGTGGTCCTATGCAGCTTATATTTTATAATTAATGGGTCCAACACATCTTATTTGTATTTTCGGTAAACCACGTAAGTTGGAGTTTCCTAATTGAAAATATTTTAGGAGTTCAGATACCAGGTTATCAACATTTTCTGTTGAAATATTGAAATAAAAATTTTTAGAAAATTCAAATACCAAATTTATAATTAAGACTATTAAATAATGTACATACATTTGGGAATATAGATATTCATTAAATAGAGTATATTAAGAAATTAATAAATTATTTTTTAAAAAAGAAAATAGGACTGCATTTTACGACAAACAAAAAATTAAAGTAAGTTTATATAATATGAGGCAGAAGGAGTATATAATTAATAATAACGCATCTTGGATCATCATGAGCTGGCTCAACTTCACATATTTATACGTGAAAGTACCATAATATCCTTAGATAAGCTTGGTGGGAAGTTTCACGGAATGTGGATATGAAATGGTAAAAGAAAGGTTTGCATTTACTGCTACTCAAACCTGTTGTTAGCTAATTTTGAAACAATAATCAATTTTTTTTTTTTTATATATAATTGCTCTAAGTTTGCAAGTTAAAATGTGCAATAAAATGATTTTACAAATTGAAATGTATAATAGATGTAAATTTATAAGTTGAAGTATTGATGGATCAAAGTAAAAAATTGAAGATGTCACAAAATTAAAGTAACAAAATTCTTGAGTGAATTAATATATTTGGCTATTAAATATTTTAACTTGTAAAATTAAATTAATTAAATACTTATTTGATAATTGAAAATTGTAAAAATTATTATCTCAAAAGTTATAATAACTACACATCAAATTAATATTTACACGTAAAAGCCAAAACAATTTATTTTTTCTTGTGCAGAGCTAGCTTGTAATAATATATCATGGCTAAAAGGGGTAAATACAATTTAGTCCCTAGATTTAAGTCAAATACATTAATCCGATAGGCTCAGGGCTCGCCAATAAAAAATAAAGTTTTCGCATGGGCTCATCATCTGATGCAGAACTTATTTCATAACCACCATCGGATTCCTATGTTTTGTCATTGTTATAGTAGTTTAATTGGAATTCCGTTTAAATATTAGCTATATTTTGTTAGTCCACAAAAACTTAATAATAAAATCTTGAGAAGTAAAAAAAAAAAAAAAAAAAAAAAAAAATAAAAAAAAAAAAAAAAAAAAAAAAAAAAAAAAGGAAAATTTTAAGACAAAAGTTCCCTTAAACTTATGTATATAAAACCACCACATCCAATTTCATAATTTTCACTTCGTACAACAGAAACCCTTGATTCTATCAATTTTCCTCTCCCTCATTTTGCACACACAAAGCATAGTAGCAAATAGTTGAGAAGGTTGCACTGGAAAGATGAGGACCATGGATATAAAGGACTAAGGAGCCGAAAGAAAGCCCAATCCATAATGTTAATGGATCAAGGAGCCGAAAGAGAGCCTAGACCATATGAACGAAGCTTGAGATAAATTTAAAGATTGAAAGAAGTCCAATGAGCCAGATTTAGTTCAATCTATATAAATACCAAGTGACAACTAGGCCTCAAAAGAGAGGTCAATCCAATTGCATCTGCACTTGAGGGGGAGTGTTGGAGAATATAAGGCACAACAGTTCCATATTGAAAAGAGACGGAAAAATTGAAGGCATATAAGTTGGATTAGTATAAAGCTAAAATAGCTTAGGTCACTTTAACAAGAAGCCCACTAACTTTCAAAGCCAATTTAGAGATCAAGCTAAGAATAGAGTAAAATGTAAGACTCCCAACATTGAAAGCCCAAGCATACTATGAAGCCCATGATTCCAGAGCCTTGCATGATTTTTGAGGACCTGTGAGTTTTGGTTTTGTGAGAAGAGAGAGAGACGAGAGGAGAGAGGAGAGAGAGTTATTGAAAGAGAGAGAGAGAGAGAGTTATGAAAATGAAGAAGAAAAATAAGTCATTGTTTTCTAAAATTTTGCAGATTTTAGTTCTTGTTATTTTTTAATTCGTGTTTTGTCATTGAATGAACCATATATACATGTGCAAAAATTGCTAAAAGAAATTATGATGAAGATAGCAACAATCGTTTTTGTAAAGATTTTGGTTGCTCAAATGGATTAGCATGAAGAATAATCATTTGAAAGTGACTTTGGTTTCGATGATGCTCCAAGTTATTAAGCTGAAATATTATGTAAGTTTAAATCTGAAAGTGATGTTAACTTTATGACTAAGGCCATATTCGTTAATTTTAGCAGTTTTAGTAGTTGTTAATTGTTGTAATAGCTGTCCGCCATTAGTGGTTAGATAGTAGCTGTTAGTGGTTAGTTATTTATATAGCCATTTAAATGAAAGTGTTCCGTATAAATAAGTGTGATATTAGCTATTATAGGTTAATTGTTTATACAACGGTTGAAAATAAAAGTGTTCGGTACGAATAAGCGTTTATTAGCTGTTAATATAAAATGACAAAAAATGATAAGAATATAAGAACAAATCAAACACAAGTGATGGACATAAACGTCACACAAAATTTATAAAAATGCTAAACGTTAACGAGGATGACGTTTAATAAAACACTACTTTAAACTCTATATGTTAGGATATATGTGATATTACCAAGCACGATAATTAATTAAAACAATCATTTAACCCAGGATACCCACTTCAAGCTTACAGTGACAAAATGTCTTTTTATAACTAAAAACGAAAATTAAAAAAAAAATTAAAAATAAATATTTGAAGTCTAGTAATATTCTCGTGCAAGACCCCACCAAAATAAAATATTCCTGTTAAAAAGAAAGTAGACCTATAATACGAGTTTTCTTTATGTCTAATGATGACGGATTCCGAATCCATATAGAAATCGAAAAGGGAAAAGCCCTATTTCCAACACAACTATAAATATTGCATATAATTTTTGTTTCAAAAACCCTGGTTCAGACCCTGAAAACCAAAGAGAGAACCTCAAGGGCGGCGCTGCCATGGAAATCAGAGTACCTGAAGAAATTGTAGGGCAGATATTCTCAAAGCTACCGGCTAAATCACTACTGCGTTTCAAGTGCTTATCAAAATCATTGAATTCTCTAATCTCTAGTCCAAACTTCATCAGGTCACACGTCCCACGATCCCAAGGTGATTTACCCAAATATGTTTGTGGTTCATATTTCTTTGATGTTAATACTGCAGTAGAAGCTAAGCCAGTTAAGTCTCCCTTAAAGCAACAAATGCCATTCTTGAATCAAACCAATCACAAGATCTTATGTTCTTGTGATGGTGTGATATTGTTACGTGCTAGGATAAATACACAATCACAAGATCTTATGTTCTTGTGATGGTGTGATATTGTTACGTGCTAGGATAAATACACCAACTCTTTATTCCAAAGATAATGAAGCCAATGCCTTGAGGATGTGTGTTTCATGGGATTTTTCTAGTAATAACAGTGTCTCAAGCGCTGATTTTGACTCTAACTATTATTCTATTATCGTATGGAATCCTTTGATTAGAGAATATCGAATATTTCCGATGCCTGAAAGTGGTGATTATGTGTCTTATGGTTTAGGTTATGACTCCGTTACTGATGATTATAAGGTGGTACAATGTGGGATTAGCAAAAACCACTTGATAAAGTAAAATGCACTCATTGTTCTTTCATTGAAATCGAATTCTATGCGAAAGCATGAAATTTGAATTTCAATATTAGTTATGGTCAGGCAGGGACATTTCTGCATGGAGCTCTTCATTGGATGGCAGAATTAGCAAATTCCGGCTGGGTGGCAGATTTTGCAAATTCCGGCAAGATTATTGTTGCTTTAACTTGGCAGATGAGAAAATAGTACAGCTGAAACTTCCTAAAGACAATAGGTGTTCGTGGGAATAAGTGTTGTGGTGGTGTCCACTCAAGTGGGACCCACACAGTTTGAAAAGAAAAGAAAAAAAAGGGAAAAAACGTGTTATTTAAAAAGGTTGGCAGAAGGTTAGCAGAAGGTTGGCAACCAACCTAAATGAAGAGCCGTGTGTAACTCACACGCGGCTCTCAAATTTCCTCTCCTATAAATAAGAGAGGATTTTCCTCAGTTGAAAAACACACACAGCAGAAAGACGAAGAAGAAAAAAATATAGAGAGAGTGTGTCTAGTTTTAGGAAGGGGGAAGGGTTTTCCTTAAAACTAGTGGAGAGAAAAAATAGTGATGGAAATTATTATTGGAGTGGTTTTTGGGAAACACTTTTGAGTGCTACTATTTTTGTATTACTCTCGGTACCTACTATTTTTTAATAGTGGAAGAATTATTCGGAGTTTACCCGTGAACGTAGCCCTAAAACCAGTTGAGGGTGAACACGTAAAATTTCTATGTTGGTCCCCATTTCTTTTTTCCCTGCGTTAATTTTCTCTTAATTCGTTGAAAGGGTCCCAACGAGTGTATCAGAGCTGGATGCCAACATCTGGTTATCAGAAGCTGATTCCTAACAAAGTGTTATCAGAGCCGAAGAGGTTTGGGTATATCTAGCCGGTTTCAGATAGCGGACGGCGGTACCGGATTCATGGATATATTTTGGATATATTTTGAAAATAAATATACCAGGATGAAGAGAAAATTACGACGAGTCCATTGGTGCTGTCCGCTCGGAAAGACATTGCAGAATCGACTTAGTGATGAATAGTAAAATAGTAAGTCAAAGTTGATGGTGAACAGTACTATTGGCATTGCTGAGTTCGTTTCAAGTATGCCCAGCACTATTCATGCATAGTACTATTCCACAGTTACTATTCATACATACAGTTACTAGTATACTATTACTATTCATGGTCACTATTTACGTATACTACTGTTCACGTATACGGTTTATGTTAGTGATGATTTTTTGCGCAAATCAAAATGGACAAGCAAAATGATCAGTCTAAATGGCGGGAATTACGCACAAAGCCCAAAGATGATCAGTCTAGAATTAAATGGCGCGCGATTAATGGTACACACAGTATGGAGAAGATGAGAGATCTGTCCCCGCCCTTATATGGTAATTCAGAATGCATCTGTTAGACCCTGTTTAGTTGACACCTAAAAAACGGAAGACACAGACTGAGTGGATGGAATGTTTTCTTTCGAGCTGCTGTCCAAATCGTCGGGTTGGGGTAGATTTGATGTGAAGGTTTTCTGTAGCACGCTCAGAAAATGGTCACGATGGAAGCTCACCAAAAGGGTTCAATTGGTTGGTAGCCTCACCGAGCCGCGCAAAAAGATCTGCAGTGGTGACCATATGGAGTAGTAACGAAGTCTATCTGCCGATACAGAGGCAAGTCGGGCGCGTGCCTCCCCGCAGCAGTCTGTTAAAGACCCGAGACGGTACCACAGATAGTTGGACAGTATCTAATAGATTATCCGAAAAAAGGGAACTACCTTGGACTGCAAGTGATCCAAAAGGATCAGATAATCAATCACAGTGTCCCACGGAGCAGAATTAGTCTGATGAGCAAGATCAAAAATTACTAACGTGGTAATAAACAAGGAGACCAGACCGGAAAAAAAGATCTGGCAGTGGCTGCCCTCCTGATGGTCGGAATTCAGGGTTTTCAACTGATTAAAAAGGAGGCAAGTCAGGGCTAGGCGTGTCTGCGTACAAAGAGTTAGTAGCGGCAAGGTACAAGCTATGGTGGGGCAGATCTAATTTAGATTAAATTAACTGTAGGGATGATGAGGCTAACGTCCCCACTTGAGTAGTGCAGGGGGAGATTTTGGTGTTGCGTGTTATTGGCCCACATCAAGATGGGACCCACACAGGTTTACCCCAAAAGAAAAAAAAAAGGCAAAAAATCCGTGTTATTTTAATAAAAGTGTTGGATAGAAGGTCCTAAGCAGAAAGTTGGCAACCAACCTAAATGAAGACGCCGTGTGTAACTCACACACGGCTACTCACATTTTCCTCTGCCTATAAATAGGAGAGGACTTTTCCTCAGTTGAAAAAACACACACGCACGCAAAGAAACAGGAAGAAGAAAAAAAATAGTAAGAGGAGAGTGGTTCTAGTCTTTCGCGAAGGCGTTTCTTACAAACTAGCAGCGATGATCTGGACCAAATATGAGAATACATTTATTATGGAAGTGTTTTTCCGCCGGAACCAAACACTATGCAGTAGCCACTATATTTATACTATTTCACTTTCTCTGGTGTGACCTTCACTATTTTATTATGGAGTGTTTTTGGGAAACACTTTGAGTGCCACTATTTTTGTATTACTCTCTGTGTACCTACTATTTTTAATAATGGAAGAATTATTCGGGATTTGTCCTGTGGACGTAGCCCTAAAACAGTTGAGGGTGAACCATGTAAATTTCTGTGTGTCCCATTTCTATTTTTCCGCTGCGTTAATTTTCAATTAATTCGTTGAAAGAGCCCAACGAATGGTATCAGAGCTGATGCCCAACAACTGGTATCAGAGCTGATTCCTAACAATAAGTATGAATTAAGTGTCATGAAAGGGTGCCTTTGTTACTACACTATAAGCAGAAATTCGACATTTTGTTTAAATATTTGGGCAATGAAAGAATATGGTACGACATCGTCTTGGACCAAACTGATAACCATCCCACAAAAGAGAATGCACATAGTTTTAGGACATTTTTGTTTTACAGGTAATGCAGTTTTTATGGGTAGTAAGTTATGTGGTGGTAATGCAAAATTGATACGGTACGTTTTGAAGAATAAGAAATGGAAGACATTTGAGACTTCTAAACGTGTGATTCCTGTATTGGTATCCTTCATGGAGAGTTTAGTTTCACCAATATTAAATGAAACAATCTGTTGCTCTATTTATTATTTTTTTTACTTCACAATAATAATTTGTCCTCTTGAGGCATATATTTTGTCCCTCCATTGAGGCCATATAATTATTATATCCAATAAACAATAATAATATATAAATATTCTTAAGAGACCGATCAAAAAAAACATATACTGTGTTATATTATATTTATCTTAATACTTCATCTCACAAAATTAATGTTTTTTAATTCCTCAGCAATATATCCCACTTTGGATATCTACACCAATGAAAGCCTATTATAATACATGACAATCATTATAAATAAATAACACATACTTGACAAATACGATACTTATATAAAGAAAATTGACAGCATGAGTGAATTGTTAATATATGTATTTTGTCTTTTCTAGGCACAAGTTAAACATAAATTATCCTCCCTCAACCAGTTATATTTTTGATTTCGGACGACAAAATAAAAAGAAATTAAATTGAAATTTGTATTCCGACCTATTGCAAGACCCTTGCCTTGAAACAACCTCCCCCTAGACCTAATTCAACTTTGAACAGCTCGAAAATAGGGAAACATGATACTAAGGGATGAAACACAAAAAAAAAAAAAAAAAAAAAAAAAAAAAAAAAAAAAAAAACTCTAATAAGACAATCTTCATAGCAACACTGAAAGAACGCATAAATGACTGCAGACTCCTTGGAGTATGACCTTTTGTTTTGATCAGCAAAATAGTTTATTTTATTAAATTTTTTAAATACAAGAAAAATTTAGCAAGTTGAAGATGTTAGCCATCAATTTTAATTTGTTTTTCATACGAATCAAGTTTTAAATATAAAAGTTAACAATTAATCTATATCTATATATATCTTCTATTTATCTATATTATATATAAAAGTGGGGATGAAAGGGGAGTAATGGGATTGAAATTTTAAGAATCCCAAATATCCTTTTGAATAATTGATAATAATTTGAGTTGATTAAATAACTTGAATTCTTAATAATTGATAATTATGTTATTAAATTATTAATCAATTAATTTTTTTATTAATTGATTTAAAAAGTTTACATTCAATTAAATATCGATTACTGTCGATTATTTTTAAATTTCACAATGAATTAATTACTAAATCAATCAAAATCATATTATCTTTAATGGTATTCAGGAGTATTTATTTAAACTTTAACTTCTATAACACATGTAAGTATTTATTTTATTGCAATATTAGAGTATGTCCCTAACTGTTCTGTAACATTTGTGTAAACTAAATTATTATATAAAATAATGTAAATATTTCAAATATATAAGAAAAACCCTGAAAAAAATAATTTAAGAATTTTTAATACCAAAATAAATTTATTTTCTCAAAGATGTAATGTGGATGGACATTTAATATAATACATGATATTTTCTTTTAAAAGAAAAACAATACGAATATATTATTTTCAATAAATATATATGATAATTAGACATTTGAATAAATATATATTGATAATTTAGAAACCATATTGAAAATTTTTAATATTTTATTTTATGAAATTAATTTTTAAAAATATTTGATTCTATTTTAATTATAATTAAAATATTTTATTTAGGAGAGAAATGGAAAAAAAAAAGGAAAAAGGAATAGTTTTTATAACAAAATTTTCAAAATAGAATGTAATAATTAAGCTTTCCAAAATTTTTTAATTTTTACTTTTAAATTTATTGTTAAAATAAAATGAGACCCATATTTATTAGGTGATATTATAAATGATGAAAGTTAAAAAATTTTAATTTTTAAAAATATACTGTAATATATTATTGGTTATATCTATATATTTATATATATTAAGAAACATATTTATTAGGTGATATTATAGTTAATAATTATTTTTAGATAAAAATAAGATAAATAATGATATAAATTAAGCTGAAATGTGTATGTATATTCATACTTCTGTTTTATTAATTAATTGTTATATTCACATTAATTTTATATGAAATTTTATTTTAACATTATAAAAATCTAAATAATATAAGACAAACAATTATAACCAATATTTAAAATTAAAAATAAAAAGAGTATAAATAACAAGTAAAAAATGTTATAAAAAATTGAACAAGTACAAATAACGAATATAATCAATGTGCAACGCACGTTATAAAAAGACTAGTGTCATAAAATAATAGAAAAATAGAGAGAGAAGTAAAGGGAGAATAGAGAGAATGAGGACAATACGAGAGTGTGTTTATTATTGATGAGAAGCCATATATATATATATAGTTACATAAGTGGAACTCTAATAGCATCCTACACAAATTAAGAAGATAAAAGTTTGCAATAATCTAGCTCATATAAGACATCTATTTATTTCATAGCACTCCCTTTTGAATGTCCATTCTTCAAAGAATATGTCTCGTTAAACTTTATTAAAAAAAAAAAACCTTGTGGGAAAAAAATTCTTAGTGAAGGAAAAGAATACATTATTCTTTTATTAAATATGCGTTGAAATACTGCTTCATTAAAAATTTTTACAAGAAAATCTAGTGAAAAAAATCTTGTTTAAAGGGAAAAATAGTACAATGCGTATTTACTCCCCTTGATGAAGATAAATCTTAAGATTTTTGAATTTATGCATTACAATTTTCATGCAGTAATCCTTCAAAACTTATGGTAGAAAGCTTGTAATAGAAAACTTGTATACTGATGTGTATATTAATAGAGAAAGGATAATTCAAATTCATCCACCCAATATCAAAAAAGAAATATCAAATAAGCTGAGGTGTTGTTTGTTTTCGATTAATTTTTTATTTTTCGTTTTTTTCTTTCAAAAATAAACAAAACCTGTTTGTTTAAATTTATTTAGTTTTTTTCTTTGCTTTTCAAAAAACTTTTTTCAAAACAAAAAATAAATTTTACGAAAGTATAAATAGTGGTTTATAGAATTGTGTTTTTCTGTTTTTAATTCTATATTTTCCATTTTTTTCATTTTTATAAAATTTATTGTCTTAAAATTATTGTTGTTGTTGTTATTACTATTATTTTCTCTATCTATATAAATCTAATATCATTTATTTATCCAAAATATACAAGCATATATTTTTATCTCTATTCAAATTCTCAGCCTTTTTTTTATCTCTTCTCTATTTAGTATTATTTTTATATTTATTATTATTTTCTCTATTATTATTATTTTCTCTATCTGTATAAATCTAATGTCATTTAGTTTTATTTATTCATTACAATAATTGGGTATTATGTTTTTATTCAATATAATAATCAATAGTTACTTTAACACTGAAATTTTAAAATTAAATTGTAAAATATTTTTAATTATTTCGTCTGAAATTTTGGATTTTTAGAAAATTTATTATTAACTAAAATCTGTAATGACTTAATAAGAGAGAAGTTTGATAATTAAAAGAATTTTCACACCGTGAACCAAAAAAAAAAAAAAAAATTAAAAAAATAATTTTTAAAAAATAAGTAATCAAAAACTAAAAACTGTTTCATGTTTATAATGAATAAAAAACTCAAGATAAATGACTATCACAAACGAGCTTGAATTATGACAAATATTTATATTAGAAGGGATTGTAAATGGAAGAGTTGTCTCTTTATAAGTAGCCACGTAATTTGCTAGCCAATCCTATCCAATCTTTAATGAATCCTCCTTTTTGTCTTTGTTTTTAGGAAAAATCTTAAATAAATCTTTACACATACAAAGCTGCTCGAGTTATTTGACTGTTGTATTTGACTTGTTCCATAGTTGCTCCCTTGATTTGTGGAATAGGTTAGGATTCTTGTACTTATTTTTATAGACTACTTGTTCCATATTTGCTCATTCATTTCTCTGGCAATACTTTACACCAACAAGTTCTTGATTGTGCTCTTAATAATAAATTTCAATCCAATTTCAAATTTACCATTCAAAAGGAATTTAAAACTATAAGGTAATAGAATCGAAAATGCGACAAATGAAGGAAGTTTTGCATGGGTTGAAGCCAGTTAGTATAATGGTTTTCATTCAATTTACAATTGCGGGATTGAATGTCTTCTACAAATTGGCTGCAAAAGATGGCATGAACTTGAGAATTTTGGTTGCTTATTGCTGGATTTTTGGTGCGGCTTTTATGATCCCTCTTGCTCTTATATTTGAAAGGTAGAATTCTTTATATATAATTTCTTATTTTGCTAATTAAATTATTATTATTGTAGTTGTTTTAACTTGATTTTTCTGGCTTTTATATTTTTAAGGAGGAATAGACCACAGCTTACTTGGACTGTGATCTGCCAATCTTTTTTCTGCGGACTATCTGGGTAAGTATACAATGATTATATGGCGAGACCTAAACTAAGAGACTGAAAATACCCATTCCCACCAGAAAAAAAAAAAAAAAAAAAAAAAAAAAAAAAAAAAAAGAGGACTGAAAAATACGGCTAACCTTGAAAACTCTCACCCCACCCGAATAGATCTCTGCAATTTTGTTTTTTTTTTTTTTTTTTTTTTTTTTTTTTTTTAAAAAAGGGTTTTGTATGATTAGCGTCCGAACTTTTTGATTTTTGTTATTTTAGTATTTAAACGGAAAAATTTTTCAATCAAGTATCTAATGTCTAGAAAACTTTTCAATCAAGTTTTTTTTGCATTTGTGGCAGGCCGAACTTGACATCGGGATCAAAACAAGATCCAGCATTTGCCACATCTGAGGTGTCATTTAGCCATAAAATTAGCCAGTCACATGTATTCCACATGCCATCTAATCTTAAAAAGACACTATTACCCTCATATGATTTACTTAACCTATTTACCTTCTATTTCCAAATAAAACATAGCCTAAGATTGATTTTCTTTCAAAATAAATTGCAGAAGTTTTCTAAACATTCAAATAATCTTTGACTAATTTTCAAGATTCACTATCCAACCAAAATTCAAATCATTAAGAAATTGAGTCAGTTTGAAATTCCCTATATATACAAGTTGTTTAAAGCAAAACAATCCATCCCAATTTTCATCTCTCAGTTTTAATATGAAAAAATCCATAAAAGAAAATAGAGCTGCTAAATCGATAATTTTTCATGCCGAACCAAATCCCAGTAACAAAGCATTTTATGAGAGAATGATAATTGTCATTCTCTATCTATGTGTTTATCTATGCAAGGAAGGGAGAGAAAAGAATGGATAGTGGTCACTAGCTTCAATTGAAATCATATCTCTGGTCCTATACCACAAATAGCTTCTAACTTGTAACAACTATTACCAGATCTATTGTGTTGTTGGCTTGACCCTGGTTCCTTTATTCTTGATTTTTTTTTTCTTTGGGGCCATATTGATCGATGGTTGTGAGTAAGGTGTTGCAAGTATACATTTAGTTACTTTTGTGATTAGGAATGGTGTATGGAGGTAAATGGCTAAATTGATGAAAATGGTGTAAGGGTTTTTAGAAGAGGTGACTTGAGAAGAGCTTAGTGCTGTGAAAGAGATTTGAGGTTATTGTTTTGATCGGAACAGGCGAGGACAGAGAGAGAGAAGAGAGAGAGAAGGGGATTAAATTGATTCTTAATAAGCGCAAAGGAGTATTTTCAGTATTAAATGACATGTGAAATGCATGTGACGGGGTGATTTGTGATAACAAAACACGCATGTATTTTATCATTTGTTTTAATTAAATTTAATTTTATTTTTAATATTAAAATAAGAATAAACTCCATTTTGCATGGTTTTATCTCTTTATTTGATTTGCACATGAGCTAGATTAATATTTGCTATTTTAAGCAAAAACGGACCAATTATGATCCGTTTGGCACCTAATCAATGCAAAGAAAATCTTCGAAGATTTGTTGCTTATGAAGTCCAAATAATGCTCTAGAAAGCCAAATGAATCAAAGGTTCAATGCCCAACCAGCCCAAGAAGAAAGAAAGAAGGAGAGTTGATCAATGTGGACCAAGTGCTAAACAACCTGTGAAATGATCTTCTGACAAATCGTTTGGGACAAAAACATTGCAGTTTTGAAGGGACATTATATCTAACTTCATGAGCAGCTCCTCTTACCATTTCTTATCATTTCATTGGGTGGTGGAAACAACTTTTCAAATACAACTTGTGCAAGTGGTGTCTGTGATGTGGACCAATAGGAGCTAAGCAAAGAAAGGAGTTGAAGAGGTTGGACACTCACTTTTTACTACACATGCAAGAACAAAGAGGGAGAGAGTGAGGCAATCAGAGTAGAGAGAGTAACAAAAAGAGAGACCAAGCCCTTATATGGATCATCCCAATCAATAATGATGCGAAAAAGAAAATTTAATCCTTATATGGATATCTATTGATGAACCAAAAGTTTCTTCATCTATAATGAATTTTCATGTTTAGTTTGTTCTCAAAGCAAATTAATTATTGAGCATTCACCAAGTAGAGTTCAAAAGAACTACTTGCATTTTCTGGAATATATAAAGTAAAATTATTGATCAATTCTTCCATCATGTGGATTATTTAGATACTTTGTGGATGCATCCAAAAGATTATTATTATTATTGACTTGCACCCTGAAGTTTGCAAAGATTATTGTCAACATGCAACCTGAAGTTTGCATGATTATTTATTTAAAATACAATTTTCTGATTATGCAATTAAGTTAATTTATCTTGAGAATTTATCTGGTGAATTTACACATTAGGCCTTTAATGATAATAGCATGTGTTTGTTGAATAAACTTTAATATAGCCTAGATCTTATTGTTCATAGAATTTGTTTAATAAGAATACACAATAAGCGGAAGCGTACCTTGATCCATATATATTGATTATCTCGTTGCAACAATTTGATTCTCACCGTAATAGTAGATTTATTTTTCTTCACTCTGGCATTTTTGTCCGTAATTTCTCTGTTAATGGTCAGAGAACCATCAACAGCAATGAGAGTTTTCTTTTCACGTTCTCTCAAACAACCTATCACCGTTATGTGTTTGAGGTACCCGTCACACTCTCTTAACCCACGCTGTTGATTTCCTTGATCTTTTAGCTGGTCCTCATCCCATTAAGTCCAATAACCATCATCTTGGGCCACCTTAATTATAACCAGCCCTTTAATTACATGGGCCACATAGATTATTAAAATAATCTAACAATCTCCCACTTGGCGTATGTGAATTTCTTGAATTTATCATGTTAACCTTAATTAGAATTAAAATGACCAAATTATGGCGGTCACAAGTCGTTAATCGACATGATTCCTTCCAACATCACAGACCATCTCAATTCATAATAACTTTAATCAAGAAACGATTCAACGAACAATACATTGTTACAATCAATATTATTGTTATCTCACTCAAATTATTATTGTATACATCTATAATGTGGATAACACATAAACAAGCAAAAACACATCTTTAATTGAATTCCCATCTGTCACAATAATATGAGCAAAATAACCATATGTAAGTGAATATATATATATATATATATATATCCCATCTTCACAATTAATATGAGCAAAATAACCATTAGTAAGTAATATATATAGTATACTATATTATATAATATATATATACAAGTTTGAAACATCATGCTAAGCAAGGACTTATCTATATATACAAGTTTGAACATCATGCTAACAAGGACTTATCTATAATGCCCATCCTATTAACATGGCCAGTGAAGATTTTGGGCGGTTAGCCTTTAGTTAGCGGATCTGCTATCATCAGATCATTATCGATATGCTCAGTTGACACCTTGAGTTTTTTCACTTCTTCTTTCACTGATAGGTACTTTAAATCCATGTGCTTTGCACCCTTAGAATACCTATCGTTCTTAGAGGAACAGCTGTAGAATTATCACAGTAAATTCTCAATAGTCTAGCTATACTGTCGACAATGCCTAAACTTGAGACAAAGTTTTGCAACGCAATGCGTGAACAGTGGCCTCAAAGCATGCCACAAATTCAGCCTCTATTGTGGAAGTAGCAATGACAGATTGCTTTCTACTTTTCCATGAAACTGCTCTTTTAGCCAAGAAAAACAAGTAGCCAAATGTAGATTTTCTCGAATCTACACAACTGGCATAGTTTGAATCTGAGTATCCCACCACTTCAAGATGGGTAGACTTTCTGTAAGTGAGTATATGATCCTTAGTGCCTTGTAAATATCTAAGTATTTTCTTTGCAGCTTTCCAATGGTCCATCCCGAAATTACTTTGATATCGCCTTAACATTCCGACGGTGAAACTAATATCCGGTCGAGTACATGTTTGAACATACATTAAGCTCCCAGCTATTGACGCATAGGGAATAGACTCCATCTCTTTACGTTCCAAATCATTCTGAGGACATTGCATTTCGCTGAACCTATCTCCTTTCTAAATTGGAACTATTCTTGCAGAGCATTTTTCCATTCTGAATCTCTTTAATACCTTGTCAATGTAAGCTCTTTGAGACAATCCTAATAATCCTAGTGATCTATTATGGAATATTTCTATTCCTATCACATAGGATGCCTCACCCATATCTTTCATTTCAAAGTTCTTAGAAAGAAAACCCTTTACAACATGTAACAATCCCACATTATTCGCAGCAAGAAGAATGTCATCAACATATAGGAAGAAGAATTCATTAACTATATAGGTACTAACAGTGGAGAGGTGAAGTTTCGTGTGCTCCTACTTGACACTTCCATATAAATACCGATCTCAGCCTGTTTTCTTTTATAATCATAGAAGTGATGTGGATATCTGACTTGAGAAAAAGTACCTGTGGACGACATATGCCTTGCTTGATCAAGCGCGAGTGAATAGGATGTTTTACTTACACGACATGATTATTTTTTCCTATTACGTGTGTGCTCTAACGAATCCCTCTGGTTGGTCAGCGTAATATACGTCGTGATCGTCTGATCATTGTCTAGTCCCACTCTATATGGTAAGGTATGTCCGCTTTGGCCAGCACGCAGGTCACACAGCCAGGTTTTTGTCCCTTGGGGCTGCAGGTCCTTTGTCAACACAAGGACGCCTATCCTATGGAGATTGAAGCTATCCTACCCCTTATTGTCACTGAGTGCGAGTAGAAACTTTTAGTGAGGCTCACGCGGCCGATCGTGCGATATTGCCGTATACCTGTTCTCGGAAGTCGTGACTAGGGGGCAAACCTCAAATGGGCGCTTGAGTCCTAAGGGGGGGGTGAGCGGTGGCGAGAGAGGCAGTGCCAACTCACCTTACGGCCAAACTCCCAACATCAGGACTAACGCACAAGGTTCACCGATCAGTACACTAGAAGGGGTGGTAGCTTAACCTGGTAAGGCGCCGTTTGGGGGTGGATGAAAAAGCCTGGCCAAGGACAAACCGTGCGGCCTGCGTGGTCCCAAAGCGGACAATACCTACCAGAGGTGGGACTGACCATTGACATGCTACTGCCCTCCAGCTGAAGGCGGCTCTGGCATCAAGACCTAAAATCCCACCAGCATCACCACCGGATGGCCTACTCCGCCCTTCTTAACATAAGCACCCTCTGGTAGGGACATAACTGTGCGGGCTGCGGGCCCCAAAGCGGAACAATACCTACCAGGTGGCTGACCATTGACATCATCTCACTCTAAGCACCATTAAGAAAGACAGTCTTTATACCAAGGTGGGCTGACCATGACATCCTCCTCTAAGTCACCATTAAGAAAGACAGTCTTTACATCCATTTGGTGAAGCTCTAGATCATAATGTGACCACAAACTCATAGTGACTCTAAATTTAATTTATTAGAAGATTTAAACTTCTATCATTATTGAACTAATTCTCAATGGAATCTATTAGAGTCACATGATCATATACTGATACATAATATGGAAAAGTGGCTTGGTCGAATACCTATCTTTGATAGCGCAGCGGATAAAAACCTCTAACATTATGTTACCAGTTTACTGATGGTAAAAGCAATTACGAATAACTTGCTCCCCTTATCTATAGTCTAAAAGCCTTATCATAGCGAGAGAGATTTTTTTTATGTGCAAAAAGTATGGTAGAGAAGGTGTTCTCCTACCTTTTTGTTTTAGTTGGATTACTACCAGTTAGTGTAATTCTACTACGACTTAAACTCCCTTCCTGTAACCAATTAGGATAGTATTTAAACTTATTTAAATATTATTAATAATTAAACACATTGATTATTATTAATGGACGTGAGTTAAAATACTAGTCATCAGCGTATTCATACCCATCCATTAATTTCAATATCTCCCACTTACACGTAATCAGACTAGATCCATCTATAGCTATTTTTGTCAGACGCATAGAAAACTATTAGTTA